GTGCTTACACCTCTCCATATAATGGTGTTGTTGAGCGCAAGAATCGTCATTTGTTGGATGTCACCCGTGCCCTATTATTCTAGATGAATATTCTCCCATATTTTTGGAGTGATGTTGTTCTTACTATTTGTCACCTTATTAATCGTATGTCATACTCTATGTTAAATGGGCAAAGCCCATATTCTATCCTTTTTCCTAGCAAGCCCTTATTTTTCCTGACTCCTAAGGTTTTTGAATGTATCTATTATGTTTACAATTTGAGTCCTGGATTTGACAAACTTGACCCTCGAGCTACCAAATGTGTATTTCTTGGTTACTCCTGCACGCAGAAGAGGTATCGTTGCTACAGTCCTTCTTTGGACCGATACTTTACTATTGCCGATGTCACGTTTGAGGAATCTGTTCCATATTTTTTAGCACCTTCTCAGCCTTTGGATCTGGACTTTGGGTCATCTCCTGTACTACCATCTCTTTCCTCATCTTCAAATATTCTGCTGTCCACTGTGTTACCATCTACTTTACCTCTCCGTGTCTACTCTCGCCGTCCTCGCCCATTAACTAAGGTGCTCGTACCGTCTTCCTTGCCGCCTTCTGATCCTGGTTCATCAGGTAATTTAGACTCTTTACCTATTGCTCTTCGAAAAGGTACTCGTTCGTGCGTTACTAATCATCTCATTGCTCATTTATGATGTCTTGTCTTTTCTTCTCTTGTTTTACTTCCCAATTATCCAGTATATCCATTCCTAAGTATTTACATGATGCATTATCTGATCCAAGTTGGAGGAAAGCAATGGAGGAGGAAATGGATATCTTACATCATAATGAGACTTGAGATCTCGTTCCTTTACCTCCTGATAAACAAACTGTTGGGTGTCGTTGGGTGTATACTGTTAAATTTTATCCGAATGGTTTTGTGAAGCGTCTCAAAGCCCGGCTTGTTGCAAAGAGCTTTACTTCGACTTATGGGGTTGATTATGAAGAGACTTTATCTCCTGTTGCCAAAATTTTTTTTGTTTGTATCTTGATTTCTTTGGCTGCTAATCTTGATTGGCCCTTGTTTTAGTTAGACGTCAAGAATGTCTTCCTACATGGTGACTTGGTTGAAGGGGTACACATAGAGAAGCCACCTGAGTTTACTATTCAGGGGGAGTATGGTAAGAGTGTATGTCGGTTAAAAATTTTTTTGTATGGTTTGAAACAATCACCGAGGGCATGGTTTGGTAAGTTTTTAGATGCAGTTTTAGAATTTGATCTTCTACGATGTCAAATAGATCATTCTGTGTTTCATAGATAGACAAATGCTGGATATGTTCTATTGGTGGTTTATGTCGATGATATTGTGATTACTGAAAATGATTCTGAGAGGATTGCCAAGTTAAAAATATTCTTGCAGGATTGTTTTCATACTAAAGATTTGGGAAAACTCAAGTATTTCTTCGGTATTGAGGTGGTTCGATCTAAATAGGGTATTTGTTTATCCTAGAGAAAATGTATAATTGACATGCTAAAGGATGCAAGTTTGCTGGGTGGCAGACCTATTGATGTTCCTATGGATCCGAATCAGAAACTTTTGATAGATGATGGTGCACTATTTGAGAATTTGAGTAAGTATCGCAGATTGGTTGGAAAGCTCAATTATCTCACTATTACTCGACCGGATGTTTCCTATGCAGTCAGTATAGTAAGTCAGTTCATGAGATGTCCTAGAGTACCACAATGGGAGGCAGTTACTCATATTTTGCGATATCTCAAACGTGCTCTTGGATTTGGACTGTTATATCGAGCTAATGGACATCTTAGAGTGGAAGGTTTCTCAGATGTTGATTGGGCTAGCTCTCCTTCTGATCGGAGATCAACTACTTGTTATTGTACTTTCTTAGGAGAAAACGTTGTCTCATGGAAAAGTAAGAAACAATCTGTGGTAGTAAGATCTAGTGCTAAAGTTGAGTATAGAGCAATGGCGCATACGACGAGTGAGTTGACTTGGCTACTACACTTCCTCTAGAAAATTGGATTTCCTTTTCAACTTCCTTTACTGTTGTTCTATGACAACCAGACAGCTATCCATATAGCTGTCAATCCGATGTTTCACTAGAGAACCAAACATATTGAAGTTGATTGTCACTTTATTCGGAACAAGATAGTAGCTGGAGAGATTACAACTCCATTTGCAGAATCTGAAGATCAGTTTGCAGATATGTTTACCAAAGCATTGAGTCGTATACGTCTTATAGATTATGTGATATATATAGTCTAGCTCGAGGGGGTGTTAAGAATAATAGGGTAGTATGTGTAAATTGTTAATAGTAAGAGAGTATATGTGTAATTCTTATTATTGTGTGTTAACTATAAATACAAGTGATGTATGAGGGTTAGGTTAAGTTTTTAAGCTCTCTCTGTTTCTCTCTAATATCATGTTAATTCTCTAACACTTAACAAAGTGTGTAAGACCTATTCACTCTCAGCCTAAGTCAAATCACGTTGCCTCAATGTTCCAAGGTCGTTCCATCGCACTCCCAATATTTCTCTACTTAACTTGTTATGGGGTTGTGTTTGTCACTTCATGACAAAAAAGGGAAGAATTTTGAGTCAATTTTGAGAGAAATTTTTATAACTAACTCGGGTTAGTTGCATGAATGGGAGTTTGTTGAAATTACTCAGGATGCATACATTTACAAACTTGAAATTAAGTCACTTGTTTTTCATTTGTTTTATTTTATTTTTTATTATTTTACACTTGTTATTATTTGCTTGTGGGAATAGCAACTAAGGAAGAGAACTTGTTGATGATCTATTATTGTTGAATCTATAGGTTCTCAAGCATAATTGGGCTAGCATTGCTTATATATATTTGCATTGGTTGCATTTGTATGTTGCTTACATGCAAATGCCCGGTAGCTTCTCTTTGTGCATTTTATACCCGTCATTATGGTATGTCATTGATACATTTATGATGTTTTTCATAAGGTATTTGGTTGATTTGTTGTGTGCAGGACTATGATTTTTCAAAGCTACATCAAGAAGATAGTTTGGTACCTAGAATTGAGATTGAGTAACTTGTACTTGAGTGGTGAGATTAGTTTACAATTCAGTTTCTTTTTTATGGGTTTCGAGTTATATTTTTTTGAATTTCTTACTATCACAACCCATGCTGAGAGACCTCATTGGTTTCCATGAAATAGAAATATAACTCAACGCGTGGTGTTACCTATATTTATAGTGCAAGAAAGCATGAAATCTCGACATTAGGAACAACGTAGCATAAACTAGAAACATTAGGAACTTTATCCCTTCAACTCAACAAGGTAACCAATATTCTTGTATTGTATATACATAACTAGTTTCTTTAATATCTCTCTACACTGCTAATGTTATAGTGGATCCCCTCTAGTTCAACATCCCGAAACTAATAATTATCTTGAGTGTACTAAACATCATAATCAATGAAAACATAAACAAAAATATGGATCAAATATTATTTCACAACAAAAAATATTCACAATCTGAACCAAATCACAATTAAATTGATAGTAAACTCTACAACTTAAATCAACCTTCATATATTGTTAGAAAATTAATTGTAAGTGCCTAATTTCGTGAAGCTTTTATGTAAATCTCAACCTAATTTTATGGTCAAGATACTTCATATCAAGTTTTGAAAGCGACAAGGAAGGACAAAGTTCAGGCTACAAAGTGGGTGGTTTACAAGTAATTTGATGTAAAGAGGGCGTTTTACGTTTATTTTAGTACTTTGGAGAACTTGGAGAATGAGCTAGATGAGTCAGAGATGAAACCAGGAGTGTTTTAGTGAAAATTCAGAAAAATACTGCACCGGTAGGTTTTATACCGGTTCATCAGGCAGCAGAAAATTTTCTACTAGTAGCAGTGAACTTCTACCAGTTCATATAAAAAATAGAATTATTGTTATCGGTTCATTACTGTTTTACCTACCAATTCATCTGAAACAAAGAGCAATTCTACCGGTTTGTTGTTGTTCACCTACTGGTTCATTCTAAATAGAACACTAACCTACAAGATATTCAATTTGTATTTTGGTTTCAATACAAGTTTTAGTTGTTTTTTTTTCAATTATGATGTCTTCTATATTTGTTTGTGATTTTACTTTAAATATGGGTGAGTAATTTAATTCTGGTATAATTAGATGAGGGATTCTCATCCGTGAATAGATAGTTTAGACCTAATTAGGGTTTCAATGTTCAAAGTTATTTTTATTGATTGAAATAATGCTTTTAAAAACATAGTTGATTTTTAAATATCTTTACTTATTCATAAACAGGTAATTCTTAGAATCCCTAAAATCAACATGACATTGATTATTTCATGAATTAATTCAATCAATTGAAATACATATTTCCTAAATTTGGTTTTAGTTGAATATTCATCAACCAAGTGAGTTTGATTACAATCTTGGATGAGTTATAAATTAGATCAAAATTATTATTCACTATAAGATGAACTTTGATGATTATCCAATTTATTTTAATAGTGTTTCTTAATTTTTATCAATCTTTATTGTCTCTAAAATTTTTTTAAAAAATTGTTTTTGTTCAATCATATCACTTTTCAAATCTGTCTTTGTTAATGAGACGATCTCAATAATCGACCTAATTACTATTTAATAATTTTCCCTGCGCTTGAGAGCTAATTTTATATTTTACCGAACATATAACTAATTGAACCCAATAATCTTGCATAATTTTTGAACATAATGGGTTCAATTCCAGAAACCAAACACAACCACCCAAATATTATTCAAATCTGCTAGAATTTTTTTTTGTTCAAACCCAATCCAATATTAAAAATGTATCCAAGTACTAAATATTTCGGGCTCAATTTAAGTTTGGCCAAGGTTGCACACCAAACAAACAAATGGCCCACCGGCTGGGTGCCCTTTCGACCCCATGACAAAACTCGCCACCCACGTAGTAGCGCCCCTTCCCGCTCTCCATAGGCTTAGGATCATATTTGCTATATTTGGAACTGTATTTGTACACCTATAAAGGGCCATAAAAGAGGTTGAAACAAAACATGAGCTTGATGTATTGCACTTGCTTTGACATCACATACTACAACGAGCATTGTCCTCTTCTTTCTCAGATCATAGTTTTGCTTCTGTATATGAACAGATAGATGGTTACAATTAATACAGTTAGCACATTGAGGATGGACAGATCAAAGGGTAATCCAAAATCATAGAATAAGAAAAAGAACGATAATTCAGCCTTCTAACTGCCAGAAATTTTCAGACTCCAAATCAAATTGGCCATTTAGACAGATTCTCATTCTTGTCCACATTAAGTTACAGAAATAGGATAAACAGGTGACCCGTTGACGTCTGGGATTGGTTAAACATAATCCCCCTAAATCCGCTTACACAAAAAACAACACAATACAACGAGAAATCACTTAGGTACAAAGAAAATCGAACAAATAGGCAGAGAGAATGAAGAAGCATAACTCCCATATGGAATACTTGCTGATTTGTCACATTTTAAGAACTCAACCCAAGGAAAGGACATTGCTTTCGGGCGTGCTCGGGAATCAACTTCACTAAGGTTTCCACCGGCAGCCCCTTCAATTCTGACAGTTACAAGGCAAGAGTGTCAACGAATCAGTTAGTGTAACTTTGTTTGAAAGGCAAGGCTAATGTGAGAAAATTTGCTCCAAGTTCATACCGTGAGGCTTAAAGTTGAATAATGGGGGAAGGAAACGTCCACTTGGCAGACGTGTGTTTGGATCTCGCAGCTCATTAAAAAAGGAATGGATCAAGACATCCAGCTGTGTTGAAAGTAAATATGCTGAAAATTTAGCGAAAAATAAAGAATTAATGAAAAGGGGAGAATAAAGGAACTTTAGTTACTCACAGCTGTGCACCGTAAATTAGGAGAATATTGCAGCAATCTTGATACCAGATCAACAGCTTCCGGAGGCATGCGTTTGTTGAATATCTGAAAAATATGAGGAAACGGATGCATATTAATGAATGACAGAACTTTATAAAACAATTGATTGACAAATCATATTAGAAGTACCTTGTGCCATGGATGAGCTTTGATTTGTGGGAATTTGAACTCAGTATAGTTAGGATTCATGCATTTAATTTCCTCCCTCGTTGGAGTACCCAAAACCTGTAAAACGGTCACATATAATATGCTAAAGGCCAACATCAGGTCACGAATGACAACAAATCAGAAGAAGCTACCGTTTATCAATTCCCCATATTAGAGCATTTCCTATGTGATATCAATGTCCAACAAATAACTACATTTTTTACAAGCTTGTTAAAGTCTTTGACATTATTCAACACCAATAAAAGTTGTTACATGTACCCCTTACTAGTTTGATCCATGTATATGCTTGGTACAAACTCCATTTGACAGATGCTTATTGCCAACAGCAAGAGACAGGCACCAGAAAGTTTAAGGATGCTTTCTCTCCATCCAAAACCAAACTTGGTTTTCCGAAAAAGATAAATTTAATACCGCAGTGATACAACAAACAATGAAAAATGAATTTACCACTCAGAGAGAGAGAGAGACTAAAATTACCTTGATGATCTCCACAAGCTGGTCAATTCCACTCTCACCAGGGAACAAGGGCTGGCGTAAAAAAGGAAAATATGAAACATATAGAATCGACACATCCCAAGTTCAAACGACACTATAATATGGGAGAAACCAGACATTATACCTGTCCAAGAAGTAGCTCAGCAAGAACGCATCCAGCAGACCAAATGTCAATAGCTGTAGAATACTCTGTTGCCCCAAATATAAGCTCAGGTGCTCGATAGTACCTCGAGCATATATAAGAAATATTGGGCTCCCCTTTAACCTGCAAAAAATCAGGAGCATGCAATTGTCAAGGATTCCAGCCAAACACACCACAATAGTCACAACAACAGCAATATAAACAAGAACATACCAAAACTTTAGCACTTCCAAAGTCGCACAATTTAACTTGGTGGGTATGTGGATTCACCTGCCAAAAGAAGTAGACACCTGACTTGCTAAGAATGGTTCATCCGCTAAGAGATAATATATGGAAAATGGGGCACTGGTACACGAAGCCAGAACAAGCAAGAGATTAGAAACTAACCTAAAGTCAAGCATACAGCATTTTGGAATCAAATAGAACAAATGCTCAACCAAATATATAAGAGGTTAGCAGAAACAAGCAAAAGATTTTATTTTATTTTTAATTAATATGAAAGTGTTTAACAATATGGGTGAAAAGTTTTTAATCAATCAAAGATTGTTAATTGATCAAAATCTAACCCCACCGAAGGGAAAGATCACCATTTTTGTGACCAAAACATCTATTCCTTATCACATAAAAAATAAAGTAAAGCAAAATTCAACATCCAGAAAACAATAAAGACTTTAAGATTTAGATTTACCATCTATACCCTTTCTTTTAACCAAGTTATATGACTACAAATTCTGAAACAAGTGTTAACCTGATTTGTTGTTATCTTAGTATCGGAACAACTGTGCAGAAAGCTAGGACGCACAGATACTTCCCGAAAGGGTGTCGTTGTAGTGTCGAACACGTGTCCGACATGTCTAGAAGTGTCCTGAATAGTGAAACCAGTCATACACGACCAGGATACATCTAAGACACTGTCAAGATGCCGCTAGGATACGTCTAGGTCAGCAAGAAATTTTTTTATAAAAAAAACAACTATTGACAATTAAAAGGGGTGTTTTTTAATATAATTTTTGTTATGTTAACTTATATCCTATGAATGTCAATAGATATATTGATGTTTGATGAAAATGATAGATGTTTATTTTGATCTATTTCAATTTTAATCAAAAAATTAATATTTGCTAGGTTTTATTATTAATATTGTTATAATATATGATTTTTTTAATATATCACAATCTATTATTATTTAAAAAATATATTATATTATTTTAATAGTCGTATCCTTTCCGTATCCATGTCCTATATTTTTTTAGTTTGCCGTATCCCGTGTCCGTATCGTATTGGATACGACACTCGTGTTCATATCCATACTTCCTAGGTAGAAAGTATCTTACGCAGTGCATGGAGAAGGGAAGATTAATAGAGTACCCAATCTAGTACAATCTATTACACATGCAACTATTCTATCACCCTGAAATCAGAATCGAAGAACCTATGCACAATGAAGAGCTTCCCTCCATGAAGCACGAAGTGACATGACCACTTGGTTTAGTCTCAAACCCTAGTCCTTCTCAATAATGGAAGCGCAACCTGAGAATAACACCACATATCTCCAAAGATATAACAAAATCAAGCAAATGAGCATTTGAACATACCAAAAGATTTTGAGGCTTGATGTCCCGGTGACACACTCCAATAGTGCGATGAATGTAAGACAATGCCCTGAAAATCTGCCATGTATCAACAGTACGTTGTAAGCTCTGCAAAACTAGATATAGAAATACTACTTTTGGAGTCTAAGAAATTAAATTCATTATTACTCCAGGAGAAAGTCGATATGACAAGTCACAAGTCCGCTGAACCAAGAAAAACAGTGTGAAACCTAATTCCCATCCCATGTGTAATGCAAAAAAGAGAAGGTAAGCATAAGGACTTTCTTTATGATTGTTGTTGGAGACTGGAAGAGAAAGTAGGCCCCACACAACTGAGGATCATACTAGAATCAAATTAAGCAAAACAGATGCCAATACCCACCAAACACCTCTATAAAGGCCAAGGACAAATCACACAAAACATGTAAACACAAAACAAGGAAGCAGTCGTTATCCACGAAAATCCAGACGTTTTCAGCTATAAATCACACAAACACAGCACATCAAATTTCATTGACTAGCACCAGACCTGATATGTATACAGCTTCACATATATCAGCGGCATCTTTTGGTTCACCTTATTGTAGTGTTTGATTACGCGATGAACAGTTTCAGGGACATACTCAAGTACCAAATTAAGGTACAATTCATCTTTTTCAGTTGTGGAGAAGAAACAGTGCTTCAAGGATACAACATTTGGGTGGTCAAGAAGACGCATGGTTTGTAACTCTCGGTTCTTATATCTCTTGTCTTGAAGAACCTTCTTTATGGCCACAGTTTCACCTGTCTCTAAGCATTTTGCCTGAATAAAAAATGAAACTAAGCATCAGACTGCAAATACAATTGTTCTCAGTGAGTGCAGATATATTAACATATGAAATCCAGTCATAAACCGAATAAAATCTTACCTGGAACACAACTCCAAATGATCCATGGCCCACAACACGTTCAGCCATGTAACTAATAGTCTGAAATTATGAACAAAGGAAATAAATGGAGTGAACCGAGTAAGACCATGAAATCAAGAAAAGAGATACAAGTTCCATACCAACCAGAATATAGGATAGAAAGGATAAAAATGGTGAACCACAAACCCCAAGGCAAGACCATTTATTGATCTTAACCATACAATTGAGATACCTAAGCCTAGGATGTACCACGACCATATTTTACACCCATTTGTGTGAAAGGTCAGTATAGCATCTATACCATCAGAATCATTCAACTGAACCTATTTTCCCTCAATTGAGACATTAGAAAAGTCCATACAATCTATGTTATCCAAAAACCCCACCAAATGTGAAAAAACAAGTGACAGATTCACTGAATAAAAGAAGACAGGTCACCCGCAGGGGATGAGGGTGAGTGGGAAGTGCACTAACACACCAACTCTTGACCCTTCACAATAGATCTCCTATGAAATAGCACTCAAGGAAGGAAGGAAGCTATGGATATAAAAATTTATAAACAATCAGAAAATGGCAAACTCATGCACATATTATCATATCTTACAATCAGTCAAAAGAAAAGTTATAGCTATGTCACATTACCTGCTTCGGCTGGCCATTTCGACCACCAATAGTTGTCACTATAATATGACCTGCCTCAGTCCCATTACCGTCAACAACTGTTGCTTCCATTTCCTGCAAAATCAAGCCCCCTTTATTCACTGGTGGCAAATAAATATAGCCAATAAAACATAAACGAGACCGCATAAAACTGCAAGAAGAAAATAATTAAAACCTTTGCAACATATACCTTATCATCCCTAATTTTCATGTCATTCATCTCCTCAGGTAACCTATCAACTCCAACAATATCACCTTTGGATTCTCTCAAACCAGAAGTAGGTGCTACACCCACAGAAGCCATTTTCAAAAAAATGTGCCGTGCTTACAATATTACCTCAAGAACAATTCATTCACCTGTGCAAATAAACATGGCACCAATAAACTAGCTATAGAAGCAGCCTTTTTATATCATATATAATGGTTTTTTTTTGGTCACTCTAATAAATGATATAACCTTTTGACAGTTCTGGAAATCATGTAACGTAAGTGAAGCTAACCAGCATACACGTGAAAGGGCAGTAATAAATAGAGCTCAAGATTATGTCAATCCCAGCCCAGCCCCAAGTGAACCAACAAGTCAAAAAGCAAAAAAAAATTACATCAAAGTCTACAAGGCCTATCATTACCATCAGAAGAAAATATAAAAGGTTCGAAAAATACGGCAATTACTCCTATTAATGAATGAAATACCCAAAAAAATTCATGTGGTGGTTTTGGAAGTCGTGTGACGTAAACAAAGCTAACCTAGCACAATGCGTGAAAGGCTTCAATATATAGACCTCAAGATTACAGCAATCCAAGCCATCCGTAACTGCAAGTCAAAAAAGCACAAAGATTTTGTCAAAACAGACAAGGCCTAATTAATAACGCCGCCACAAGCTCTAAACCATACCAGCAATATGCCATTTACTCCTAATCAATGATATATCCAAGAAACAGATGTTCATTCTCTCTAATAGAGCGCAATGCGCCATTCTGCTTTCTCATCTTTTAAATAAAGAAAATAACCACTTTGACAGTTCTGGAATTCATAAAACATAAGCAAAGTTAATCTAGGCTACCAGCAAACATGAGTACATCAACAATTGTATGCCAAGGTTACAACCATCCTTAGCCATACATCATATCCGATTCAACATTTTTTATTAAGATATCATTCCACATTCCGTGTAAACCACAAATATCAATGACTCATGGATGACTCAAATTTATCGAATCATCATTATCAACTCGTATCATATCACCTTATACTATTTCACGATACCACGATATGGTCTGAATCTCTCGCCATGTCTAATTTTTCTATCTATCATTTCATATGTATCATCATACTGTTTAAGGCCTAGACACTAATGTAGCTGCCCATGCAACACTGCATAACATACCAGAATCTTGGTTCCCCCTATGCTTCCTTCCCCATTCAACACTTATCAAAACAAAACATAAATAGATAAACAGGGTCAAATAACAAAACAAAAACAATCATCAAGAGGAATATAGTTCAAGGATTAACTATGAAGCACATACACAGACCCAAGATACTAACGCGAAATGCACAGACAACCCGATATGGCATATTCTAAAACAGTAGGATTGGATAATAGTTGACACACATAACAATTAATCGTGTTTTATATATCAGATTATATAAATTTTCACAGTATTTAGTATAATTATATAACATAAGGAAATCATTGCTTTGAACAAATAAACCTTGTGTCTAGTACTCTAAGATGAGTTCCAATACTAATTCATTAGACAAAGCATAGCAAGTATACATACTTGTGATGATTCCTCTCATTCTCCAAAGTCCTCTTTTTTAAGCAAAAATTTTATACATTTTCTAGTCTATTTTAAGTACAATTTCAATACAATTGATCGCAACAAATATTCTCCATTCATATAACTTGTACGATAGTCATTTGTCCAAATTTAGAAATTTCATTAATCACGTGTTGGCAAGTATCATATGCACAGCCCAAGTGTTAGACTCGTCACCAAAAGAGTGACTCAAAATTAATTGAAATGAAATGTTCTTTCTAATTATGAACATGGCCAAAAGAGTATCAAACATGTTTGAGAAGTTCATGGTCCAAACATATGCAACGCATCCATGCCATCATTCAACTTTAAACATACAGACCCAGGAATTGCTATACACCAGTATCAGGCTCTAGGCTTCAACAACTAGATCAAACCAAAAAATCAATGTCTACCACTTTTCAACTTATCGCCAAGCACTTCTCTTTCATAAGTTTTCAATGTGAAACCACATGTATTATTTTTTGTTACGTACCTAAACCATCAATCATAGTCATATGTATTATCTAATTATTTGATAAAAAAAATCAGGCCAAAGATACTGTACAGCCCTAGTTGTCAAACGAACCTTGTCCATTTGAATCCAAAAGTTACACCCTTCTGAGACTAGTGGTACAAAGGAGTCTCAGGAAAGTACCTAATCTACCCAACAGTATTTTCAGAAATTAAACCAACCTCGCACATACTTATTTGTAGATAACTTTCCACTGCTCGCAAGAACTTCAATTTATAAAAGAACTAATCTGGAAAATCCAATAAATGCGGGGATTGAAAACATCAACTCAAGATTATTTATGAAAGCATTACACAGAGAAAACATAATTAAAGGCAAAAATCTACCCCTAAACTCTCTATGATCGTATATGTATAAATACTGAGGCAAGCACTTCAAATCAACAAAGATCTAAGTAGGAACCTTCCAAATCCAGACCAAAATCCTGAAACAGAGGAAAAACATTAAAGGAAAGATTTATAGTTAAAAAACAGAAAAACACAATAATAATAAGTGCAACGAGAACAAAGAACCGACAGCACCAAAAGAAGTATATACACAACGATCTACAGATCCAACCCAGCAAAACCCAAAATAATAAGACCCGAAAACAAAGCCTATGAACGAATCTTATGTCAAAAATAGAACGGCAGGGAAGAGAACCGCACCGATCGAATCAGAATCCCCAAAAAATCGCGAAGAAGCCCATCATCGATGGATTGTTGCGACGATTAAAGGCGTAGATGACAGCATAACCACAGAGAAAATTTTGATAGAAAGATACAGAGAAAGAACGAGTCACGGATAGAGGGAGCTCATTTTATTTTATTTTCATGTTTCTGTTTATGCATTTTATTATTTTTATTTTTACCTTGTTTTTGTGCAGTGTGTTGGTGACATGATGTAGTGGTGGGGTGGGGACAATCAAAGCCAGGCGCTGAGCCATATAAATAATAATTTTTCTCGAGAGTAATAATTTTATTTAATTAAAAAATAAATTTATAAAATATAATTATCAATTTAATAATTATAATTATTAAATAAATAGTAAGCTTTAATAAATATTGAGATTCATAATAAAATTAACAGTTGTAATTATTAAGTATTCCTATTAAATCTATATAACATCTCTCTTTTTCTCACATTATAATTTTAATTTTAATATAATGATTTTTCAAGTTCTTTGCGCAATACAAGTAATTGTAATCTTTTTTAACTGTTTAAACCCCATTTGACGCCATTTCAAGGATTGGACTATATAGAAGTAATTTTTTTTTTTTGTTAAGAAGTGTCGTTTATTTTACTAACAGATAAAGGGGTTGATTACAAAAAAATAAACTTTTAACCTATCCTAACTCTCGAATCTTAATCAAGGGCTCTCATCAACTCTGTCGATGGTTTTCTGATCCATTCCCTTGGCAACTTTCCTTCTCATTGCAATGTTGTGATTGTGTGGGTTGCCTTATTCGCACATTTATTGTTTGCCTTGAATGATATTTGGGTGATGCGTTATAAGTAACTTTAGATGTCTTGTTGGATGGGTTATATCTCTCTGAATTTCACATCGGGCTCTAGCACTAATTTTGTTGTCATTGGATCTGTTTTTTCAAATTATTAGGTTCGTTTATATGCTCTTTTCTCGTTATTCTCCANAGGGAAGAGAACCGCACCGATCGAATCAGAATCCCCAAAAAATCGCGAAGAAGCCCATCATCGATGGATTGTTGCGACGATTAAAGGCGTAGATGACAGCATAACCACAGAGAAAATTTTGATAGAAAGATACAGAGAAAGAACGAGTCACGGATAGAGGGAGCTCATTTTATTTTATTTTCATGTTTCTGTTTATGCATTTTATTATTTTTATTTTTACCTTGTTTTTGTGCAGTGTGTTGGTGACATGATGTAGTGGTGGGGTGGGGACAATCAAAGCCAGGCGCTGAGCCATATAAATAATAATTTTTCTCGAGAGTAATAATTTTATTTAATTAAAAAATAAATTTATAAAATATAATTATCAATTTAATAATTATAATTATTAAATAAATAGTAAGCTTTAATAAATATTGAGATTCATAATAAAATTAACAGTTGTAATTATTAAGTATTCCTATTAAATCTATATAACATCTCTCTTTTTCTCACATTATAATTTTAATTTTAATATAATGATTTTTCAAGTTCTTTGCGCAATACAAGTAATTGTAATCTTTTTTAACTGTTTAAACCCCATTTGACGCCATTTCAAGGATTGGACTATATAGAAGTAATTTTTTTTTTTTGTTAAGAAGTGTCGTTTATTTTACTAACAGATAAAGGGGTTGATTACAAAAAAATAAACTTTTAACCTATCCTAACTCTCGAATCTTAATCAAGGGCTCTCATCAACTCTGTCGATGGTTTTCTGATCCATTCCCTTGGCAACTTTCCTTCTCATTGCAATGTTGTGATTGTGTGGGTTGCCTTATTCGCACATTTATTGTTTGCCTTGAATGATATTTGGGTGATGCGTTATAAGTAACTTTAGATGTCTTGTTGGATGGGTTATATCTCTCTGAATTTCACATCGGGCTCTAGCACTAATTTTGTTGTCATTGGATCTGTTTTTTCAAATTATTAGGTTCGTTTATATGCTCTTTTCTCGTTATTCTCCATGAAAATGTCATCATAATTGATCTTTGTGCATCCTTTTGTGGGAAGTTGCAAAATATCATGTGCCATGCTCTGATTTGTGTCCACCTCTGAATGAGATTTTTGGTTTTGGGCTTCAACAACAACTTCGATTGTTCAGCTGACAACTAGCTTTGCCATAGGTCCCTTATAGTAATAGAGCCACTTGTTTTTGGCATTCCACATAAACCAACACAGGTACCCTAGGTTAGCTTGTCCCCCAAGTGAATATGATTTTTTTCTCTTCAAAGCTTGTAGCTGGTCCATGAGCCCTATCACAATTTTGGTGATCTTATGTATGTCAATGGTTATTTCTAGAGAAGGCAATTGCCACACATCTCCTATCTAAGGGCATAACAATAGCATATGTTCTAGTGTCTCTTCCTATTCTTTGCAGATGGGACATATGGGAATGGTGGACAGTTTCCTTCTCCACAAGTTGTACATGGTTGCAATTGTTCCATTTGCAACCTTCCACATTTTTGTCTTGACCTTCGGGGTTACCTAATTCCCCTAATTCAATTTTCATAATCCTTCATGAGTTTGATATGATGACGATGCAGTTATATGTCTTTGATTACTCATTGCATTTTGTAGATATGAGTGATAACCTTCTTAACTGAGTCATAACTATCTCTAGTGTATGCCCATCTGAGTCTATCCCCTTGGTGATTGTAGTTAAGAGGGATTGCCAATGTTGCTTTGGCTATCTCTGGTGAGAAAAAGGACATGACCAGTGCTTGGTTCCATGTTTTTGGTGAGGGAAGCATCAGCTCCTAGACTTTGGTGGTGTTACTATTTAACATATTGGGAATTCATTTTGTCTTCCCGTCAATGAACTTGACTCTCATCCCTATCTAATAATAGCAGTCTTGGCTTAGTATATCCCTCCCTTTTAGATGTCCTTTCCATATCCATGAGCTATTCCCTTTTGGTTTTGTCAACTATAATGATTTGACTACAAAATACTTTGCTCTCAGCACTTGTGCCCATAAGGAGTAAGGGTTTTGAACAAGTTGACTTAATTTGAAATGTGTACACCCAAGTACAAGTAGTCAAGCTGTACTAATAATCTGGTTGAGTCTGGAGTCGAATCTTTAGGGAACTATGATTGGTGTTTCGAAGTGAGCAGTAGTAGAGACCAAGTAACTGGAAACCTTGAGAGTTTGAAGTTGTGGGATTTCTTGAATAGAATATAAAATTCTTTCCAAGAGTTTTCTAGACAAAATATAAGATAAATTTGAATGTACAACAGTCACCCTTTAGCTCGAGGATCAGAACATGTAGTTAATCATCTGGTTTATTATAGTTGTGCTGGATAACTCAATTAACTCCCATGTCAATAGCAAGTTAATCGGAAGATAAAAATGGACTGTGAGAATTAAACACATGATTCTGATATCTTTCTAAAAGTTGACAAGAATTACCTGTGCCGAGATTTAACCCGTCTACAAACAAGCAAGTATTTCTACAAGGCATCCTATCATGGCATTAATGTCCCATTCTTGGATAACGCTCAATAACATTGAAGATGGAATTGTTGTCATGAAGATCTAGCCAAGGTGCTTGCCTTGAACCAACAGGTCTTTACATGTAAGAGTCATCCGTGACATAGAAAGAACTCATAGTTATACAAAGTACCTTAGCTTTGTTAGATATATTCAATTATTCAATAAGTGAAATATAAAACATTAAAGTATAAAGGAAACACACAAATATAACTTTTGGATAATTTCTACATATTCATCACCTCTTACTAAAGAGTGAATGAGGAACTACTCACTCTTCATGACTTGGATAAAAGATAGAAAAGTGAGTGATGCTCATCCCTCTACGTAGAGAACTTACAAAGTAAAGTACAATAAGCAAGGAGCCGTTCTCCACCAAAGAATAAGTGAATCACGTTTCACCCTTCACGGCTTTGGTAAAACTCTAGAATAGTGGAAGAGTTTCACTCCACCAATGAAGAAGGAAGCTCAAGCAATGGAAGTGAAATAAAAGAACATTGAAAGTAAAAGAAAGCTAGTTACTCTTGGAGGGTAACTTCCTCAACCAAAAGATGGAGGGTTGCTTCCTCAACCAACATGTGAAGGGTTTCTTCCTCAACCAACAATTGGAGGGTTGTTTCCTCAACCAAGAGATGTAACACAAGCAAATATAGCATACATCTAAGATTAATCAAAATGAGTGGGAGTCTAAGCCTCCATACAAACTCATTACTAGTTCTTGGTGTAGTCTAAGCCTACAAACCAAGCTCTAGCTCCTTACTTTACAAGAGGAAAGAATGCCCCCTTAAGCTCCCTTAATGGGAGTATTTATAGGCAAGGAAGGGGGGAACAAGAAGATAAGAGATGATGAGTGAATAGTATATGCCGCCCATGAAAATCAACTACTCTGCTTGCAGTCTGTGGAGGACGTTCGAATGTGAATCGACGTTTGAACGTTGTCTTCTATTTTGCTTTAAGGGTGTTCGAACGTTGTCTGATGTTCGAACGTGTCTTCTGGTCTTGCTTTAGGGGTGTTCGAACACCAGATGGGATGTGACCACATCACTCAAGTGGTCTTGGTCTTCTTTGGAAACCCACTTCCATACTCTATGTAGGGCTTGGGTTTTTTGCAGTCTAATCTCTGATCTTTCTTCAAGTCATGTGGACGTTTGAACGATAGTTGGCGTTCGAACGTGGTACTCCAGTACTTCAGGGTCCTCCTTTTGGACTGCAACACGCCAGGTCTTAGCAGTCTGGTCTCCTCATAGTTCAAGTGGACGTTCGAACTTGAGTTGACGTTCGAATGTGGTTGCTTTGTCCCAACCTTCTCCAATTTTGTTCCCTAATGCACTGGTATCACACTCATGTGTGATATTTGTTGTTCTTGAGCTTTTGTTCACTTTAGGTCCTGAAATGTCATCACTTAAACTCCATCAAAGAACAATTAGTTCCAAAAAGACATAGAAAAATGCTAATTTTAAGCACTAATCACACCCCCCTAACCTAAATATTGCTAGTTTCTAGTAATACAACAACATTGGAATGTAAATCTATTTCTAATGCCTTTTTTGTAGGTCATCCGGTTGTATTTAGTATATGCAACAAGCCGTTGAACCACTAGGTTTACCCCAATGAACGAGTATTCTCTCGTGAGGGTTTTCAATGAAGCTACCCACAAACTTCAGTCGAATAAATGTGTATTTGAGGTTGCTAGTTGAAATAAGTTAGCATTGTG